AAAAAAAAAAAAAAAAAAAAAAAAAAAAAAAAAAATCATTTGCACAAATAAATTAGTTTTTTTTAACTTTTGGAATTATACTCCAGTGTTTCGGAATCATGCTCCGGAATCGTACTCCAGGAAGACCTCTCCGGAACAATGTGTTCCCGAAAATGTGGTTATTTTATAATAAAAAATAGGTTATTTTTGTAAAAGAAAATCATTTATAAGGATTAGATTACTCAATTTCCCACTGTATATAATACAAAGTAGAAAAGAGATGTGAAGTAAGGAAAAAAAATCATGAAGCCACTAATTGTTGAATTTTAACATGGGATAAAAAGAAGAACCAAACTTACAATAAAACATGGTGGGATATATACATTAAAGTCCCAATATTTTTATCGATTTGACAAGAAAGTCTTAAACTTTATTTTTTTGATAGTAAAGTCCAAATTACCGGCAGTTTTTGACACTTTTACCCTTTTTTCTGGTTAGCCGGTAATTAGGACTTTTTTGTCAAAAAAATAAAGTTTACGACTTTCTTGTTAAATCGTTAATTAGGACTTTATTGTCAAAAAATAAAGTTTAGGACATTCTTATCAAATCGTTGAAAATATTGGGACTTTAGTGTATTTTCGTAACCCAAGAACTTTTAATTGTGACTTTTGTTGAAGCACCACTGTTTTTCTTACCATCATCATCTTCACCCTGACACAATCACGATCAGGAGAAACATATGCAAAAGGGAGCGAGAAATGGTGAAAAGACTTGTAAAACTTTATTCTTGCTTCGCTGCCAAATCTTGAACTAAAAAGTGGGGACAGATTATACAAACACAGACAACACATGCCTAGTAAAAAAAAGTGTGAATGTGGAGAACGGAAAGAAGAGCTAGCAATTTCGTTTTTTTTTCGGTTTCTTATTTCTCCATTTTTGGGACTACAAAAAGTCAACACAACCCTGGTTCTTTCTTTCTTTCGTTCTTTCTTGATTATCTCCATTTTTTCAATGTCAATTTGTTGAAATTAAAAAAACGATTTAACAAGAATCAAATGTTAACGATTTCAATATGATCTAGCTGATTAGAGAAGGTTTCAATAACTCTTATGCTTAAAGAGTATCATACCATTAAATTTTTAACCAAAAAAAAGATATATATACACTAAAGTCCTAATATTTTCAACGATTTGACAAGAAAATCTTAAACTTTATTTTTTTTGAAAATAAAGTCCTATTTTTACATAAAAATTATATATGTAAAATTGAAAGTTTATTAACTCAAACCCCAATTTGTTTTTTACAAACAAATACCCCAATTTACAGTTTTCTCTTTAATAAATACAACATCCATACTTTTTTTTTTGCACCAACAAAAAACTAAAATCTCATAATTATGATTCAAACACATCCAAATTCCTCATGATTTAATTCAGTACCTCCCGGATGAAGTCAAATATGATGGGACCTTTTTCTTCGGTCATTAATTAATTCTTTCTCTGCACCTCCATTTATCTTATTAATGACTTGTGGCATTATTTCTGCAATATGAACAACTTGTTTAAGAACCACTATTCATTTTACATCTCTCCCCTCTTACTGACTAAGGTTCATATATGGCCATACGATCCGTAAATGCTTTTAAAGACGTTTGGCACTTAATGGTAAAGTCACAGTAAAAAATAGTAGGAACATTGCAAGAAAAAATGTCTTTATTGCCACCCTAGTTAAAGCCGTTACTAAAACAATAAAAAAGGATAATGTGGAATGAAACAATTCCATTTAAAAGAAAAAAAAAACCTATTTAATTTATATTCAGTTGCCACAAAAGGCAATAGATAGGTCTAAATTAACACTACACTTGTTCAAAGAACCATCGTTTACATCAGGCTTCGAGTACACCTCACTGGTTTCACTCGTTGATGAAGCATTACTACTCCTTTGTGTTGAGGGGTGAGGCAATGAAAGTGTCAACAATAATCCATATCCATCTTCATCTTCAGTGCTTGTCGAACTTTCCATTTTCCTTCTCTTAAACGATCCAGAATTTCCATCTCCTTGTTTGGGAATCTGTCAAACCAACCATCATTGTAAGAATTAAGAAAATCTATGATAAAGTTTTTTAACCTCTATATATAACGTCTGTAATGCATGTGTTTATGTATAGTTTGTTGTGTACACGAGTGTGAAAACAATCTTGTGGTGATACAACAATTCGTATAGGAATCGCGTGGAGATACAACTTACTAGGGTTTATAAGATTCTTCTATATTGTATTCGAATCAAGGAGACTTAAAATCATAAATAATAAGAGAAAAAACACCTACAAAATCAAGAAGCACCTAATTTCCTACCTAACCCCTTTACATTCTTTGAAAATTTTCACCTAAAAAAGTGTACCTACGCCATAAATTCCACACGAAACAACCATCCTTGCGTACAAAGAACGTTTTAAAGACAAATTATATTAAATATCGTATAAGTTTTAACTCAAGCTTTCTAGATCATTCCAAAAAGTTCTTGAACAGACTTAGGTCGACCTGTGAAATTCAAGTTCGAAATAGAATGAGGCATGCCGTGACAGCAATGTCAAGTCTTAAATTTACGAGTCATGACAAGTAATGACGTTTTCCAAAACATGATTTAAAGATACAATTTGTATATTTAAAAAAACATCACATAAAAAAATATTTATATAAAATATATCAAGTTTTTTAAGGAGTTATATCAATCCCTAATAACAAAATAATAATAATAATAAAATAAATAACAAAAATCCAATGGTGTCATACTCAAAAAAAAATTAACAAAAACCCAATGGTGTCATAAACAAACAACAAAAAAAAAATCACACCTTGCCCTAACATCGAGGGCATGCATGTTTTCGGACCATGGTCAAATTAGACGATGTGCTTATATATTAATCTTATATTTTATGTTTTAGGTACGATATAAGACATGGATGTATTGGTAGAAAAGATTCCCATTCCGATTGCATACATATGTTTTGACAACACAATGTAGAAAGTACAGAAATTCTTGCGTAGAAGTAGTTAGGGTGCAGAAATGGTGTAAAAACAAAGCCCAGAAAAAGTATCAATGTCCACGCAACCGAGCAGGTTTTTCTAGCAGCAGCATATTCTCTGACTTTGAAAGCTACACATGCATGCCAAGAAATCATGCTACTTTGTTTACTAGAGTTTAAAAGCTGCTATGAACAACAACCCCTCTCTCTCTCCCTCTCCCTCTCCCTCTCTCCGTACACACATGCACACACACAC